TTTTGTATTATTATACTTCTCTTTATTAATTAAATATTCTATCGTCGATTCATTATTACGAAGCTGATAAATGTGAATATATAAATGAAATAAAAAAAAAGAGAAAGAAAAAGAAAAAGAAAGATTTTTATTTAATTTTTCACCATGGAATCTCGAACGTTAACCTAATTTAAATTCTTTAACGCGAATGTGAATTAGAGAATTTGAGGTCAACGATTACTATATAGTAGAAATAAGCTTCCATGTATCGAATACATTAATATTCGTCTTGCTGTTACGAATGGTGCTTCCTGATTATAATTAGCTTGGTATAAATAAATTATACGGCACACAAATATCAGTCAGATATTATTAACTTGATATATTACGTAACGCAGAATTTATTCACAGAAGTTATTCACATAACAATTAGATAATTATTAGTGGTATATTAAAATGGAACGTATCGTTAGAAAGTGTTATAATAATTATATTACAATTCTAATTGTGTTGTAAATAAAATGTACACGAAAAAAAAAAAAGAAAGAGTGCATTAAACGAATACACGACTGTATACTTTTCTGACTGTAAATCGTGTACTATATGTATCAATCGAATATTTGGAATCGAAATGTAAATAGTATCATTTTTCACGAAACATTGAAAGAATATCGAATCGAACAACCAGACAAAAGAATGTTCTACTTTAAATCGAATATTCGTCTTGATCGATGAATCAAACAAATTAGATATTTCCTCGGAGAGAAAGTTTCAGATTTCTTTCTGAATTAATTATCGACACTGAAAAAAAAAAATTCACGCGTTTCTGCGGGAAAAATTGAAAACATTTTCACGCGTAATAGAAATCAAAGATGATGATTCGTGATTTGCAGTGTCGCAAAAAACACTTTCGAAAAGCATTTCGAAAGAGAGTTCGTAAAGATGGCTGCTATATCGTGAAACTCGCACCGGAGAGAAAGAAGGGAGAAACTGTACGTAACTTATTCAATAAAATGCTGACTCCATGAACACGAGTTTTTCTTCAAACTTTCCCTTTGATATCGCTGTGAACTTTCTCAAGTATATATAATGTAACGCAGAAAAGTAACAGAGCGTGGAGGATCGTCTCTCTCTCTCTCTCTCTCTTCTTCTTCTTCTTCTTTTTTTCTTTTCTTTTTTCCCAAATTTTCATTTCGAAACGAATATACGATTTTTGATTGCGCAACAAATTCGAATTAATAGTTTTCCGTATCCTTGTGTACCGTTAATCCAGAGGATGATACGAATTTCGAAAGTGATTAAATTTTGCCAACGGGGAAGGGGAAGTTTAATTACTCATAACTATATACTCGAAACATTCGAGAATATTTGCCTACTGTTTCTGTAACGAAAAAAAGTTAATTGATCGCGTTCCATGAATTTGGGATATTTTCTTTTTTTAAATTGTCGTGGAGTTTAATTTCAATTGGTTTTTAGAATGAAGAATTTAAGAATAAAGAATCTAATTTTTCAGTAATTTATGAGTAAAAAAAAAAAAAAAAAAAACTATGGAAACGAAAGTAATCGAAAAATCGACTTGGAGAATAAATTTTGCAAATTGATTTTTAACTAATAAATCGAATGAGATTGGGAAAGAAAAATAGAAGAAGATACAAACTTTTTATATCTCTTGTTCGAGTACTGTTCGAAACTTTCTAAACTTGATAACCGTTGTAAAATTTTCTCTGATCTCAGAATTGAAGGAACTCGAATCCATATATAGATAGGGTTACCCATATATCAAAAATTTCGTGTCATCAATGGACCTTCGAACGAACTTCAGTATCATACCGAAATTATGATAGTTGCAGATTATTATCCTTTCCCTTCATATTTATCCTTCGATGTGAAATATATGCTCCTTCGAAGTTTTATAAAGAATAAAAGGAAATAAAAGAATATGTCTTTCAAAGAAGAAAAAAATAAACTTTTTCAAAGAGAAAATTTGCATCTTATTATTAAAAATTAATACAAAATAATTGTGAATATTTTCAATCATTTTTCACATCTCTTTCCATTTAATCCATATCATATCTTTCATTTGCTCAAATATATAAATATTCGACGAGAGGAAAACATTCTATTCTCCAGAAATCTATTTTTAATCTTCCTCGAATATTACGATTCTCGAGGGAAAAAATATCCAGGAATAAAATATTTTTTACAACAAAATGAAGATAGAATCGATGTATCGACAAAAGGTACCATGTAGCTACGTATGTGACAAGCTCATACAAGAAAAGACCGTGTTATCGATTTCGAATTCCACTACTTGAATCGGCTAACGTAAAAAACACGTGCCAATTTTCTGATTTTCTGATAGATTAACGATTCGCGCGTGACCTCGAAGCTCAACGTTGTTTTACATCTCAAAAAAAAAAAAAAAAAGAGGAAAAAAGAGGAGAAAAGACTTACTAAATTTAGAAAAAAGAAAAAAAAAAGCAAAGAAGAGGAGGCGATTTAAAATAGATAAGAAGTGCATTTCGTTAAGATTTCGAGGATAAATGTTCGATAGAGATGGATAATTGGTAAGCTTACAATGAAGAATAAATATTGGAGATTAGAAAGACATTAAATTCTGGAATTTAAGAGGGAGAGATATTGAAATCGTTGGAACGGTGATTTACTGAGTTGAGAAATTTCATACGAAAGACGATGCGAAGAAAAATGTAAAAAAAAAAAAAAAAAAAAAAAGGGCGAAGACTTCATCACTCTGAGTAAATTTTTCTATCCAGATGTAAATTAAATTTTTACTCCAGTTTTGAGTATCGCGTTGAAAAAAAAAAAAAAAAAAAAGAAACTTATATCTAGAAATTAAAGCCCGAAATGAAATAGTATTTCTCTAGAATTCCAGTTAACGAGAAAAGACACGCAAACTTCAAAACAAATTTAAACACTGGCTTTTGGTCTTCGGAGAATATTCAACTTGAATATATACCAAATTCGAAACTTTATCTCTCCCCTATTTTGCATTCACGATGTCTCGATTTCATCAACTCTCTCGTCTTGTTTCAGAAGATAAATTATCCGTCCAAAATTATTATTCGAAATTTTTCCACTTTGGAAATAAAGATATCGTGGAGGAAAAAAATTAATAATCGAATAAATTTATATGATGAGGAAACGAATAATTTAATTTTACGAAATTTATATTTATACGAATTAAACGGATCGGAATTAAACTTTATGGAACTTTTATATATATCGTGCCCATTTTGCCACGATAATTTTCTTAATAATTGTATCACGATTACTGAAATAACTGTTAAGGAAAATATCGATGATCCGCGGACGTGTTTAACGTGCGTTTACATCACACTGTACGCGGTTCATATTAATGCTATTACAAAAGAGATTGAATATCGAGCAACAGGTGGCTATTCGGAAATTTGTAGCTAGGGATTTCTAGGAAGTACGATGTATGTAGAAGCGAATCGTCGTCGAATACAATTTCTTCTCTATAGATCCCTCGCATCACATCCCTTGTACGTTAATCCTTACGTTAATATCGTGATAAATTTATCGGGAAAGAATTGAATGCAAACTCGATGATGTAATTGATTGAACTGTAAACAAAATTCCTGTTTACCGCCTGTTACAGAAATAACGAAGAAATTAAATGCCACACCTGGGTATTTCATTACTCTGGAGATGCATTGAAATTGGAATAACGTTGGAAAATTATTCTTTCCCGAATAAAAAAATCCTACAACATAACATTCTTTTCCCCCTCCCCGTCACCCGATCATATCCATCCTTAGAAAAATAAAAATTTTTATTCGAATTTTTTCCAATCGATTTACATTTATCCATCCATACAAATAATGAAACGATCGGTTGTCATTCAATTTAAATAAAATTTCCAAATTTTAAACCAAACGGTCCAACAATCGTCTAATCGATATCATATTTTAAAAATTGATAGACACGATTATTGGTTGTTGTTATTGGAAAAAAAGATCAGAAGTACGGTAATCTCGTATAATCGTGGAAAAGCATTTACGTGGATAATCCAACACCCTCTACGTTACCAGCTCGCGAAACAACGAACGATCATTCCGCCATTGCAGGCCAGGAACGAGAAAGGAGAACGCTCGTACGTCGATTCCAACCGAGGTATGATTGCATTTTACCAGTAGAAAATGTCGTGAAACTAAAATCTCGTCCCACCTACTCACGAATCAATCGTTGTTGACGAAAAAAAAAAGAGAAAGCGGGAGGATAGGCTAACCGTTCGCCGATGTTTCAAGCTCGAAGAGAAGTCTCGAGGTCGAAATCAAAGTCGAAGAACTTCCGTCGAGGGATGAGCGACGTGGATCGTTAACCAAAAAAAAAAAAAAAAAAAAAAAAGGAAGAGTAAAAAGGAAAGAAAGGGGGGAGAGCACTAGGGTGGAGAACACTTCGATCTTCTTCGAGAACTTTTCTGTTCTGTTGGTGAAAGAGAGAAGAATATTCGTCGCGGTTGGGGAAACGTGGTAACAAGGTAGGTCAGCGACAAATAGGGGAGGGGAAAGGGAGAGGAGATCGGCCATCTCATATTCAACTCTCGTCCACGAATTTTTTCTGTTAAAAAAAAAAGGGGGAAACGGGGAATTTTTATCCCCAATTTTTTCCCTTTTCCCATCCCCGCCAAACGCATGACACTTTCCACAGATTTAAACTTTGTTTCGCTGGGAATTTTAAAGTTTCGTGGAGATAAATGATCGGTGCGACGAAACATCCGTTTGTCCGTTGCAACGATGATTTTGTAATTTTATCGGCTTCCTTCGAATCGAAAGAGAGAGGCGAAAGATATTCCACGAAAAAATCGGAATATTTTTTCTTCGTATTTTTTCCCCTTTCTTTTTTCTTTTCTTCTTGAAAATCGAATTACGTATTTATCGTTCTTTTAAACAGTAGTAAAGCAGTTGAAGGGAGAAGCAACTGAAAGAAGATCAAACAAAAGCAAAGATTTTACCAATCCTGTTTAATCATCTAAAAGAATGAACGACAGTCCACACAAAGAGAAACCACAGAAATTAGTAAGTCGCTACGCTTTAATTTCTAATAATAAAATTATTGCTTTTCGATATTCTCGTTGCATAACGATAATTACAAACTGAAAGTTCTGGAATTTACATCAATTTGCATCTCCGATATTATTAATTAAAATATCAGACGAAATATTTTTCTATTTATTTTTAATGAAAAAAAAATTTCTGCATTAATAATCGTAAACAATTTATCATATATTTTGGGAACGTTTCATTTCGATAAAAATTATCAAAACATCTATATAACTTTATAATATATCGATGAATGATTTCTATGATTTTTCGTGATTATAAAAAAATCGATAATTTAAAAAATGCAAGGAGAATACATTTAATGCGTTAAAAATAACGCATACCACGATACTCTCCATGTTAAAAAAAGAAAAAAAAAAAAAAGAAAAGAAAAAGAAAAATTTATGCTATAAGAAATAAAATTGCGAAAATATAACAAAAGTTCAATTTAACAGGCTGCAACAGAAGCAACTCGTTTCGATGAATCTCACAATTCGACGAGCCGTATTTCCACGCAACAGGAAGTAATTAGAGATTCACAGTCGATTACATTGCGGGCTACAAGTAAGTGAACAACTAATTCACTCGGACAAAAATATTTTTATCTCCGATTAATTGCTGTTTACCGCGAAAATAATATTACATCTGGCTTTGAGAAAAAGATTAAAGGGAGGAAACGATAATTAAGATCTTTGTGTAATTAAAGGAAATTTCATTATGGAGAAATTACTATAAATTTTATGGCAAAGATTGTATTTGAGGAATTAAGAAGAGTTAAGAACTTGCAAATGAAAATCTTTCTTTAATATCTTTTTTATAATTATAAATAATATTGCCGCATATTTTAATTTTTTAGCCACTATTTACTAACACCTTTCTGCAAGTTTTTATCTCCTTAATTCGATGGTATATTAAATTTTTAATAATTACCAAACTTTATTACACCGACACATTTTTAATTCTTGTTGAATCCTGTCGAGCACTCATCGGTCAATTTACCTTTAATGAAAGCTGCAAAAGTAATCAAGAAAGATCGCGAAAGTGAGCGAGTTTCAATTTGCATTTCAATTTATTCTATAAAAAAAAAAAGAAAAAAAAAAAAAAAAAATTGATAAATCCGTCAATTGTTGTAATTGTAATTCTGTAAATTGTAATTCTCGCGTTGTAAATTCTCGCTTCGAACCTTCGAAAATTCTAATTGTCAAAAAGAACTCGTACTAAAAAAAGGAATTAACGAAAAAAAATTGATGTTTTCCCTTTGTCCGGTGGGGATTCCTTTGTCATTGCGCAATCTTTTCAACCTTTTAAATGAAAAGCTTGAAATTTAACAGCAATGCGTGAAAAACAACAGAAGGAATTGAATCATCGACGAGGAAACAAAATGGTGAATGAAAAAAAAAGAACGTTTGGCAAGAATGCAAAAAGAGGGAGCGAAATTGTTCGTTAATAGGGGAGGGAGGAGAGGGGAGGAACAATGTAGAAACTTTTCTAATAGGAAGGAAAAGCATCGTTATTTCTGAAAAAGAGCCAATTAGGCACGATAAGTGTCCTTATATATATAAATCAGTCATTCGTAATAAATCGAAAGTCGTTATATCCAAAAGTCGTTCCTCCTATCCAAGTCGTTTCGCCATAAAGAACGGCCGCGTCATAAACCACGAGGATGTCGAACGTTCGTGAAAAAGGAGTCGCAAAGGAAACATTGTGTGTCCACAAATTGATGATCATACTCGGAAGAAATCCCATCCTGTTGCCTTATTTTTCACCTCTCTCTCTCTCTCTCTCTCTCTCTCTCTCTCTCTCTCTCTCTCTCTGTGTCTCTCGAAACCGGAGGCTAACTAAAGTAAACCAGTTCTTTACGAACTGTAAAAAGAAGGGAAAGCAGATTTCGCTTCGGGATGAAGAAGATTAGGTCAGGGATTTTCGAGAAGATGGATCGGTCAACGTGATAGGATTTTCGCGAGGGAGAGTTTGCTAGCTCAAATATTTTTGGAAATAAATACGTTTAAATATCGTTTCGAATTTTTTTGGAAAATGGACAGACAGATAAATAGAGAGTAGGAATCTCAGAAATATAATCTGATTGATTCGTGTCCAATATTATTAAGAAGTAAAGGAAGATTGGTATTGAAAAATTCTAACATTGAACAAATATATATATTGTTTCATTCTTCTTGTGATCCTAGATCGAAAAATGATAATTATAAAAATACATTGGGTATATCGATCTTAACAGTTGGTGTTAAACTGTAAGTCAGATATAGTCAGGAATAAAATATAAATTCGGGAGCAAGTGAATTTTTAATTTTTAATATTCGTAATTTGAAAAAATCTTTGGATTATTATTAGAAACGAGATGTTAGAGAGATGTGAAAGAAAGAAAAATTATGTAAAATATACACACGTACACGCACTTTCCATTTCTTCTTCCCTTTAAAAGAAATATTACCCGAGAAAATTTCAATTTAAATTTAAATCGGCCCATCAAGGATCGAGAGAATGGTAACGTATTACGGAGGGGGGGAGAAAAAAAAAAATCAACCTTAACAATCGGATTCGTTTATCTTAGGCACAGACGAGGATGAAGATGTTTCGAAGAAAAAAGATAGGCCCGAGCAGTTGACTCAAAGACTCTCGAGGGCTGAAACTGTCAGACAGGATGCCAGAAAATTGAAGACTGCCACGCTTAATAGAATGGGGAAAATGTTTAAGCAACGTTCTCAGACACCTGTCACGGATAAATCACCCCATGTCAACAACGATACGGTGAGCAATTTCTATCTTGTCAAAAATATGCGTGTATAAATTTCTCTGACTGAGATGTATTCCCTTCCCATCTTTTTTCCATACTTTTTTTTTTTTTTTTTTTTTTCGATGACTTATACGACGATCGAATTACTACACTTCTCTCGAAAATTTTTATTTTAAAATCATATGCGATGTTCATTCGCGTTCATTCATCTAATAATCTTCTTTTTAATCTTTAAAAAATATTGATGATTCTTTGTGGCATTAACTCGTTCGTGATTGGATCCTTGGAAATAGGAAATTAATATTGAAAATGTCTTTGTTTCGTCCAGAATCCAATTAAATCTATAGAATGCTCTAGCGAGGAGACATCGAAAAAAGAGAAGAGCAATTCTTTGGGAAGGATGCTGAAGCTTGTGGATAAAGACGGCACGTCTAAAAAAATATTTCACCCTCGAGCAGGGTCGTTGAGTCGCATTCTGCGTCGGAATCCTAATCACGAGAATAACGAAGACAAAAAGCCCGAAGAAAACTCACCGGGGATTTTCTCCAGAATGCTGAGTCAGTTAAGAGGAAAGTAAAAAAAAAAAAAAAAAAAAGAAAGAAAGAAAGAAAGAAAGAAAAGGATTGCAAACAGTTTTAACACTTCACACTTCTCTTCCTTCTAATAAATACTTTCGAACAAATTTTCACGTTATTTACACGAAAGGAGAATGATTTCTATAATTATTAGTTAGATTAAAAAATAATGAAATTAGTACGAAAAAAAGAAAAAAGGAAAAAATGGAATAGAAATTGCTATTCTCTAGTCAAAGTGGATGAAAATTTGATATTCTTAATATCCATTATGTTTAATTTTTTCCATATTATTTTTAAAAAGAAATATCGAACGATACGATATTAAATTTTCTAGAAATGGATACTCTTTTCTATAAAAAATTGTAAAATATATTCTGCATAAATAGCAAATCCCTTTAAAAATATTCATTTTTGTATTTGATAATTTTTCGAAAATTGTTCTTCCGCTTCATTTATTATATATACGAGTAAAAAAAAAAAAAGAAATTCCTTTTGTTTATCATATCAAAGTAAAATACGTTGCTCAAAGGATAACAAGCAAACTGATCTCGTTTCAAGAACTATATATTATTATTATTTAATTTTCACGATAGAAATATATACGTTAATAAAAATATGTACATTAATGAAAAGCTGATGAATATGAAACTATTATATATTATTTCTCCATTAAAATTTTGTCCCGTTCAATTTTATTTAAATTCAAATTGATCCATTATTCTCTTTACCAACTGTAGATAACAATCGTACGAAATGGATTTTTATTTTATTACCTATTCGTTATTTTGATTTTAATATTTTAATATTTAGGTCGTCCACACAGTGGTAACGCCACACTCGAACCAAATCTGAAGATGCGCAACAAAAATTCGTTACCTCCAAAGGCGCCATTGAATACAAGAACGACTAACAATGTACCTTCGTCAACTTCCGCTTCATCGCCTCAGACACAGGCTGCGGGATCGCCCCAGAAATATTCCACTTTCGAATATTCGATTTAAGCCGATTAACCTCCAAAATAGCGATTTTGTAATAAAATTAAAAATAATAAACTGTCTGATTATAAAAATCACACATCATTGCGGATAAAATGGTTAATTTTTAAAATTCAAATTCAACTTTTTCCAATAATTCAATAAGTTTTGAATGATTTTATGATATTGGCCATTTAACGTGCAACAAATATAACATTTGTATTTTATTATAATATTGTATTTAATTATTCGAATATCTTCGAACCGATTCAACCGCTCTCGTGATAAAATTTCTTCTCTTTTTCCAGATATAAATAAAATAAATAACGAAAAGAAGAGGTATCCAATGTATTGAAAAAGAAAAAAAAAAAAAAAGAAAGAAACGGAGCGCGCATACGTGTAGAATAATTTCGTAGAAATGACGCGTGGAAATCGTATCAATCTCACGTGCGATATTGGTATATTGCGGTATCGAAATACGTCCAACGTTGAGAACAAATTTAAAAAAAAAAAAAAAAAAAAGTTTCAATTCGATACGTTTCAACGTATGTATTGTCTATATACACTAAAAGAAAAACAATAACAATTTCGCGTAAAATTTACATTATTTCACGACGAATCCATGTCTCTAAATCGATACTTTCATTTAGTTATATAACGATATTTCGAAAATACGATAATTTCCTTTCAAAATTTCTTTGAAAATATTTTACGCATATTTTATCGACGAAACGATCATTATTAATAATTATTATTAATAATATTATTTTAATATAATTTAATAAAAATTAATAAAATAAAACGAACTCGTTTTTGCATTGGAGTTTCCTCGATCGAAAATAAAGAAATGCATGAAAAGGATGATGTTTTTTTTTTTTTACTTGGAAGAACCATGTTTATTACGTATGTATATTTCGTCTTTCTTTCTTTTTTTTTTTTTTTTTTTTTTTTTTTATTTTCGACGAGACAACCCGTGTCCCTTCGTGCACTTTGCACGTGCTGTACAATTTTTTTCTTTTCTCCGCTTACATTAATTACGCTCTTTATGATAGCATTACGACAAAAGTATCAAATTGGGATGATTTTACGAATTTTAACGAACGATTCAGTCGAATGATGATTCGCAAAATCATTCCAAATGATTCTGGCTGTTTTGACAGCTGGGTAAAAAAAAAAGAGAAAAAAAATTGCATATTTACAAAAGAAGAAAAAAAAGAGAGATGAAAACAGTAGACTTACACACGGCATACATGATTTCTCTTTTCGCGCACGCAAATCTCAGCGTTATTGCTCGTCGTGGAAATATACATATATGTATATATACATATATGTATATATATATATATATACTAGCTCGGTACATGCTCGATCAAAACCTGCGAAACTTGAAATATTTAAATATTTCTGCACACAATTAAACAAAAAATTTTACACGCACAACGAATAAAATATAACCGTTTTGATCCAATCCTTCCTTCGGTCCAATTTTTCCTCCCTCTTTCTCCTTATTAAATAGATTTAGATAATAATATTTATAATATTTATAAAAATACGCATCGTGATAAAATACGCATCGGTACATTACCTTCGAAGATAAACGAAGATATGATTCACTCAAGAACGATATTTCATTTATTTTTTTTCTTTTTTCTTTTCTTCGTTCTCTTTATCTATTCGTTCTATTCCGATCTAATAAATCTGAAGGAAAGGAATCGTTTCTGAAGTGAAATAAATCGTTGTTGTCGGAATTTGTTAACAAGATGGTATTACCCAGTTAAATATCGAAGACGTCAAGCACATCCCCATCTATCGATTAACACCAGTGTTTAACGATTTGTGCGCGCCGTTTAAAAAATATAAACGTACATATCTTTCTCCATCCTCGACCATCATCTATTACTATTTACATCGAACCGGGCGACAATGCGCCCGGGATTCATAGGTGTTTCAACGATCGTTCGATCGTTCGATTTATCGTACAATTGTTCCTGTGATGATTTCTTTTTTTCTTTTCTTTTTTTTTTTTTTTATTTCACATTGTTATTACCAAGTGATCCAGTAAAAAAAAAAAAAAGAAAAAAAAAAGAAAGGAAAAAATAGTAATTGGCACGAACCCATACTCGATATCGAAAAAACTTTACTATTAATCATCCATTTGATTGTACCTCATCCGATCTCTTTAATTTCCCATACTCGTTCCAACAATATTGATTTATCACAGAATAACGCATTCATTACACTAATGACAACGCAATTTTCGCATCGTATATCTTCGTGCTCGATTTTTTTTAATACATATATATATATATGTATTGTAATAAATGAATTTCTCCGAATATTTATCAAATGTCAAAATAAATTTAACATTTTCATCGAACTTATGTTGCGTACGTTAAAATCGAGCACAGTGCAAATGAGATTCCAATTCACTTCAATCCATTTGATGCGATGACTTACTCACACGTCTTTGCATTTTTCAGAAGGTTTTAAATTCATTTTGGAAATAATTCGAGTTCGAGATATTCGACCGTGTTTGTTCTAAAAAAAAAAAAAAAAATAAAAGAAAAAGAATCTTATTATTTTTCTTAAATTGTGCACAATAAATTTTGCCCTTTTTCGAAAAGAGATCCGATTCAAAGAAATCTCTTTCATTCTTTCACACTACACTTTCACCACCATTAGCCATCGTTTTCTCAATCGATCGAGAAAATTTGGCAAAATTTATCCGACAATCTAAATTCCGCAATTTTTATTCCCTTTCTTACGTATGAAAAGCTGCAATGAACATTGAATGCCTTAACATAGAGTAATTCAGATCATATTATACAGATCTTTTTTTCCTTTTTTTTTCTTTTCTTTTTTTTTTTTTTTTCAATTNTTTTTTTTTTTTTTTTACAATTACGTTATGATATGATCGTGGCATATGTATACAGAAGCACACACTTACACAGACGATGATCGAAAATTTTCCATTACTTGTGGCGTTACACTCGTAAATATGACAATCCGAGCGGGTGTTTGACGCGATTCACGATGAATCTGGTGAATCTGATTCGATGAAAGCGACATTTATTTCTTGGGATTTTTATTAATTGGTGATCAACCGTGGTTAACGTGTTCTTTTTTTTCTTTTTTTTTCTTTTTTCTTTTTTTTTTTTTTTACAAGCATTACAACGTCACTTTAATGGAGGAATTACGCACGCGATAATAATTTGATTAGAAAATATATAGGATCATTTCTTAAATAAATTCGATAATTATTTATTGTTATTATTATTATTATTATTATTATTATTATTATTATTATTATTATTATTATTATGTACAAATAATTTAAAAACTGTCGATCTTTTAATTACACGTTTCAATGGAACATTATCATGGAAATTGAACATTAATGAGATTGCAAAAATTATCTCCCTTTATTTATTTAGTTATTTATCACATTAATTTATTATTGATCTTTTGTGTGCATGAAACTATTTAGAGTCGCGTTAATGATTTAGGATAGTATAATGCAATAATTATAGTATATTGATTGAAATTTTGAAATTCGTGTGAAACTTGAACAAGCTCTAAAACGAGAAGACGAAAAATATTATAAAGGAAAAAACGAGAACTGCGTTTTCGAAACTTAACAAAGTTAGTTTATAAAAATATAAGAAATTATTTTCAATACGAGAAATTCGATTGAAAAATAAACAAGTATAAAAAATCGTACATCGATATCGTTACAATCGACTGTAAAAGTGTCCAAATACTTTTTCTATTAAAAAAAAAAAAAAAAGAAAAAAAAAATCACGAAAAAACATAAAACGTGCGTCACAATCATCTGAAAGACACGAAATTATTTTTTTGGAAGAAAGAGGAGGAACAGAACGAAACTAAATAAACTAAACGGGATGTTAACTCCTGATCGTGGACATATATATATATATATATCCACCTACGCGTTTACACATTTCCAGAATATGGAAATCCGAATGAAAAACTGATCTGTAATTTCATTTAAATTTCAGAGAAGGAAGAGAACAAGAACGCGTGCATTTCCCATACAACGAAACTCGAACGACCCGGGTGTGACAATTATCCATTTACACGAGAAACATCAATGATTATAATAATGATAATACAATGTTCGCGACAGCATGTAGTACAGCAATAGATATTATAGCAAAGAAATTCGATGGATTGGAAACTGCAACTTGTCCGGTCGATCTTTTCCTTTATCGACTCGTCTATTACGCCTTATCCTTCTCTCATATACAATTATATACAATTATACATCTAAGAAATCTTATCTCTTATTTGGAACAATTTCTATCTGGAAAGGAAACAAACCCTCGGTATGAGGATTTAATCGTAATTAATCGTAAAAACCTTATAGCTTTATTAATACTCTCTATTGCGTTTGGCAGTCGATTGGCAATTCTTTTTTTTTTTCTTTTCCCCTCTCTTTAAGTCGATATTTCGATAATGCGAATTTCGTTTACAAAAATATCTCGTCGATGATGATTATCAGTCAACCCCTTTTTATCTTGTTATAAAGTCAAGCGAAGTGACTCGAGAAGAAGAGAATTTTTAGAAAAAAAAAAAAAAAATGTAATTATCATAAATGGTTTTTAATCCTCGCTCGAATCTATCAGAATTGATGGTATTCTTCTTCCCATCATCTACTATCGACCACGAGTTATTATCACTGTATGCGCGTTGTAATATAATTATTTGATCGGCAATCAAATAATTCGTGTTACCAATAATCAGTCACCCCATGATATCATCATTTATCAATCTCTCGCCTCGTATCATCTGACGATAACGATGATCGAATCGATCGATCCACGGATCCATAATCGATATAACACGATATCGATAAAAATGTTCGAGTCGACCGGACATATTCGCCTCTGATACAAGATGTAATATTCACGAATCGTATTCACGCGCGATCATTTAATAGCGAATATTAAAAAACGTTTCTCCAAAAATACACGTGGGCAGTGAATTTGAAATTCCCAGAAAAACACGATTCTCCCCTCCCTCCCCCCATACTCGAGAGAATCAATTTTTTTTTTACCCTGATTCGAGAATAATCCGAATTTTTACGCGACTCTCAAACGCGTAAAAATCCCCCATCCCCTCCCTCCCCCTCACCCACCCCTGACAGCATTACCTCAAATATGGTAAAATATAGAAAATTAAGTACACAGATTTTTTTTTTTTTTTTTTGTAGCATCGAGCAAATCTTCTGACCTCTAAGTACAGGAGGAGTGACGATCGGATACTTCCGTTTCCGTTCTAAAACGGAACGTCGTGGTGGTCGTCGTAATAATCGTAGTCGTTCCAACGATTTTCGTCCAATTTCGTTTTTTTTTTTTTTCAATCGCTTGGAGATTCGATCGTTTCTTCCCTCCACTTATATCCTCCACTTTATTAGATATTCCTGTCTAAATTGTAATCCTATTAATCATCGATCATCGTTCGAATCGAATGCAAACAGTTTTGGTCCGTCGCGTCGAAGGCTCGTTCACCGGTTCGTTGATTCATCTTTTTCTTTCTTTTGTTTTTTTTTTGAGAGAGAGAGAAAGAGAGAGAGAGGAAGAGAGAGAGAGAGAAATAAATCCCATAACGATCGGTCAAACGATACGAAACGACACACGAAACGCGTCGATGAACGATGTCAAAAGATACGAACGATCTACGATCTATGATTAACGATCTCGAAGAGCGTCGATTTCGAAGAAATCGAACTGTCGATGAGTAAATATTATGTATTATTATACGGATCGTCGAGTGATTCTCGTGAAAAGAGTGATATGACTTCTACGAAGATGCGAGTTTCTTGTTCCCACTGACATGTTAAATTTTTTTTTTTTTTTTTTTTACTTTTATTTATTTATTTATTTATTTTTCTTAATTCTCTTCCTATCATGAAAAAAAAAGGAGGAAATCCATTCTTCTCTCGTTTCCTATTTCGTATTCCCCGTTTGTTTTTTTTTCTTTTTTTTTTTTTTTTTTTTTTTTCATTCTAGGCAGTGTTTTTAATCGGCGTCTCTACTACATCCCCTTGGACGGATGGTTGCCACTCACGATTTTGAATACGATTTTTCTAATAAATTGTATCCGTGAATGATAAAAAGAAAGAAAGAAAAAAACTAGGCGAGAAGAGAAACGATGTTCGTTACGTTATTTAAAAAGAAAAAGAAAAGAAAAGAAAAAGAGAAAGAGAGAAATTGATTTTTCAAATTCAATTCAAAGATCTCGATCGCAACGTGGCAACCCAACGCGGGATACGCATCTTACAATCCTTAAGATATGCAACTTGGAGATTTATCTACATCACGATAGGTACCTAAAAATCGTCGCCTTTTTTCGTAAAAGAAAAAAAGAAAAAGAAAAGAAAAAAAGAAAAGAAAAGAAAAGAAAATCGAGGCGGAGACACTCCTCGATCCCGGAATTTCGACGATTCTCCCGTGATCCGATCTGAAAAACCGCCTCGTCGTTTCGGGAACATTTAGTATCATCGATTTACATTATTATTTACAGAAAAGAACAGAGGCGAGGAGAAATCGTTTACGATGCTACACGCTCATCTCTCATGTTCTCCCATTTAACAGCCACTCGTCGCAAATGAAAATCACATGAATTCGTTTCCATTCGTTTCCAACTTTACATTACATTCTCCCGAATACAGTAGAAGCAGTTTCGTCGCGAAAAAAAAAAAATAATTCCTCTTTCTTACAGTCTATACACAAATCCCGCACAAATTCGAGCGAAACGACTCGTTTTCGCAAGCAAACTCGCTTCCTATGCCTCCTCCTCTCAATCGAATTCCCTAGAAATATAATAATCTCGAATCCCTCGAATACCCCGCAAAATTTCATCATTCCGCTCGTAGGAATCGTCAGAATCTGCTCGTGCGTGTTCGTGTTCGTATTTCCCCCTTTCCATCGGGGACGACTCCCTCCGCTTCCGTTTCCCCGGAAGACGAACCCGATCGGATGAGATGATGAAATGCATCGTCGAAACCATCGTAGAAAGGAATAATCTTCTTTATCGATCGATCGATACCTGTTCGACGATCATTCGTCGAGGCATCGATCGTCGAACGGTACTTTCTTTTTCACTCATATCATTCACATTCTCGCGGTGAAAGTTCGAACGCGAAGAAGCGATTATTGTCGACGGTATATGTATATGTATGTATATAATATACGCCATTATCGCCATCATCGACTTGGAGCACATTCATATTTCGTTTACTACCACGTACACGAAACGTTTTGTGAGAAGATGCAATAGTCTTGACTGTTGTTGTTGTTGTTGTTGTTGTTCCTCTTGCAAGAAAACTAAAAAAAGACGTAAATCACTTCGAACGAAGCTAAGCTAGGTTCTCGTCTCTTTTTTAGAAGCACTTCTGGTATATCTCGTGAATATACAACGAATTTCTTCCATTTCCCTCGGTTTTTCTTCATTTTCGATAACATGCCACGCATGTAGTAATACTATATATATATATATATTTTTTTTTTCACGGTGCACCGCACCTCTTCTCAAAATATCTCTAAAGCATCCTCGTGTTCGTTGATCCCTGAATGAATCGAGGTATTCGAACATCACATTCCTGATTCCGCTATTCCTTCGTCGTCTGTAAATATATGTAACGATGGATGAGAATTGATGGATTAATTTTTACTTAATTGAAAGATAATTAAATTAAACGAAAAAATCATGCCAGTTGTCGAAAACAAATCGGAAAGCTATTCGATTAGATGCAAAGAATATTAGCGTGATATTTTGATTAATTAATTAATGACGATGATTTTGTTATGCGAGGAATTAGAGATTTTTGTATTGCAATAGCTGTTGTTAGAGATTAGTTCAACCCATTTTTTTTTTATTTTTGCTTGTTAATTGCTTGTTTGTAACATTTTTGGAACGATGAAAAAATAATTCAAAATAAAATTTTGCAACGTGTGAAGAGATGAATGTATTTTCGTATCCATGCTTTTTCGTTCGAAATTTATGCAAAACAACATCAACATTTCAATGCAAACTAATCAATATTTATAAAAAAAGATTACGAATATATTTAAAAATAAAATTTGTGAAAAATGTAAAAATTATATTTATTTCTTTTACGCAAACCGATTTTTCACAGTTAGCTTTTTCTCGGTAAAAAGATAAAGTGAAAAACTGAAAAGCCTTTATTGCAAAATGTAAAATATTTGAAAGAAAAAAGAAGAAAAAAAAAACGAAAATTCATAAAAAAAATTATTACCCAATAGAACGAAGTTCCTCTTCACTGGAAAAATTATGTAAAAAAAGAAAATTACCTTTCAATATCAACGAAATAAATATTCATGTAACAAACAATACAAATCTACTTCTTTGCCTGTACATTCAAAGCAAACGTGTTACTTTCTATCGATTAGTACTCGTGCCACGTGCGTTGGTAAAACTATTACTAGTTATCCGCATGCAAAATACTCCATACAAGAGAGAAATCTAAAATAAAAAAAAATAAAAAAATAAAAAAAAATGAAAAAGATAGGTTAAATAAATGAAAATATTAAGCGAGGATCGAAATTACCATCGACGCCGGAATCGCAGTTCGAGGGTCACCTTTCCTTTTCATCCTCGCCAGGACTGTTTGTATTTTCAACCGAGCTTCGATTCTTGCCTGGATTCAAAGGGATTACGAGGTTGGAGAGGGGATGTGATTCAACTACGCACGGACGTGATACCAAAATTTACCAAAAAAGCAACACTTTTTTCACGTGACACAAAACCGATGATATATCATCTTCACTTTTATCTTATGATACCAAATAGCACTACTACCACCATCCACCACCACCATCACCATCATTATCTTCTATTCTAAATTTAAATTTACACGATTGTTAATAATTATCCTCTTTCGAATTTACTTTCCGAGAGAAAGATACTACTAAATTATTGTGCATACATTTGATCAATACATTGTATCGTGATTTTTCATTAATTTCATTGCGATATCGTATATGGAATCGTGAATTTGGAAGATTTTATCGTATATACACCGCGATTAACCGAGTGAAAAAAGTGAAGAATTAGATGGACTAGATTTTTCGAAATAATACGTAGATACGTATGTGTATTATTCCAATGTGTGTCAACTTTGGAAATCTCGAATAATCGAATAATTCATGCACTACGTGTTCTCCGTTTCGAACAATACAATTCGACTTCACACAAAAGAGAGAGAAAATGCATTGTTCGTCCAAATGTCGCAAATAACACTCGAGTCAATTTCACGTTTACGTTTAATCGCTTAATTATCTTCGTAAATAAACGATCCGGTTCGAATCACTCACAATTGTATATCCTAACCTCAAAACTTACCTTCGAATCCTTGATTGTCGTGAATCTCTCGCGGCGGGCCAGTCATGTCCTGGCCCTCCAACACCGCCAAAAGACATTGGTGTATGCAAATGTACTGTTGCTCAGTCTGGACCATCCACACACGCTCCTTCCTCATCGCCCACACTATTCCAAAGATGTCCACGTACTTGGACACCAGGATCTGTTGTAGTATTCTGTCCAACGTGATGAACGTACCGCTACGACCGACTCCCGCGCTGCAATGGACCACGATCGGCCTCTGATCCGGCCTAACCCTCTCCCTAAACGCCCGAACGAATCTGGCCAACGTTTGAGGGGGATTTGGAACGCCGAAGTCTGGCCACGTTGTGAAATGGAAGTGTTGAATCACCCGTTTCGCGTCACCCTGTTGAAGAAAACGCCTTTGAAAACTGCGCGATTGTGATTACTTATTTCTGAAACGGTTAATTCGTCCATTCGCCTGTAGCGGGCAGTGCGTCTCCACGTGCGATACACATCTTGATCGATCGTCGATAAAGACGTGTCCTACTCACTCTGCACAGCATGAACTCCGTGATGCTCCAATCGGGATAATGCGTCTCGTTCAATATGGTTACACATATGTCACCGTAATAGACGGGATGAGTGTCGACTGGCCAATAATGGTCACACTTCTCTCTTCCCTTCTCGATACACCTGGTCAGCATTACGATCGCCCTGCTGTTGCTTTCCCAGACCATTCTCCAGAAATCGTCACGCGTCGAGTGCAAAGGACCTTGGGTGACGATGAACTCTCTCGGAGAATTGTGCCCCTGATTCAAAAGAGAAGTTTCGAATAAAAGGAAAGAGAAAAGAATATTCTCGTTCTCCCTGAAATTCAAATTTCGTTACTCACAGGGACGTAATTGGCGTTGATGTAATCGGAACCCTCCTCGTCGTCCACGGGTTGCAACTTGAATCTGCTGTGATCGTAAGGTAAAATATTCGTGAAACGATTCTTCGGCCTGTTGCACGGTAGATCGGCGGCTGTGCAAGGTTGATCCCTTCCGACGTGTTTCAACTCTTCGAACTCCTCCGAGAAACGGAAGTCGGAATCGGCCGACATGGTCCGATAATGTTCAGAAAAATCTTCTATCTTGATTGGCCGACTAAATAAAAAAAAGAAGGGGGGAGGGGGAATTATTATCGAAAAATCATTTAATTTTTCAAATTAATATTTAAATTAAATTATTTATAAATTAAATTAATTATTTAAATTATATAATTAGATTATTTAAATTATAGAATAGATATTAGACCTGGTGTCGATCACGCTGTCCGGTAGGGACAAATTATCGGTGGTCCTCGTTTCGGTTGTCTTCCGTCCCTGACTTCTTCTCCGCCTGACCAATAACCCGATACCCAATAAAGCCAGTAAAAGTACTATAGGGACCGTGACTCCAACTATGATAGCCGTATTGTCCTTATCTACATCGGAAGAAGATATATTAAAAATAATTAAGAAAGAAAAAGAAAAAAAATTTACTAAATATTAATACGATTACTCCGCCAGATAATTACTTAGGATTCTTTTACAGTCATCCTAATTATAAATTCTTGAGTAAAGAGGTTATCTCTGCACATCTTACCTGCCAGCAGCAATCCTTGGACAGACATGTACACGAAATAACGAGGCATGTATTTAGCAAGCTTCCTACGCCACAATTAAACCGCGAAACGAAACGAATGCTTGGAATAAACGCGCATTCGAAACGGAGGAAAGGCGAATCTTCGAACGAGGAAAATAATGAAAAAAAAGAAAAAAAAGAAAAGAAAGAAAAAAAAATCTCACGAACCTCTTGAGAATCGGCTCGAAACCGGAGGAGGGGGGAACGCGTTCCCGTTTCAGAAGGAGAATTCAAGAGGATTTGCTAAGATCGGTCGAAACGATTGCCGGGAGCACAAGCAGCTCTTCGCACGATCGTTCTCACCTGTTTGAATCGGGAAACTGTAACTCGTGTCCGTGAATTTGTCCGGGGCGGTGAACGCGCGAACTTTTACTCTGTACGTGGATCCAGATTTCAACGGGCCGTTGCAGTATCCGATCTTGTTGTCGCAATTCTCGCTCCCGATCGTGAAATCCTCCACGGAACCGTTTTTGAAAGGATAGTAAGGCTCCATCACCTGAAAGTTGTTAAACTGATCAATTAATTTGTTTATCGATTTAAAATTTGTTATAGAAGAAGAGAATTCTTATTATATTTAATTATATATATTTTCACTTGTGACAGTAGCGATAAGTATTTCTTATTATTATTCTATTATTCTATTATTATTATTATTATTATTATTACTATTCTATTACTATTATTACTATTATATTTATTCTATTATTCTATTATTACTAAGTTAATCGATATTTTTACATCCACGAGCGATTATCGAATTATTTTTTTTTTTTTTTTTTTGCAACTTGCGGCTACGTTACGTCCAAAGTAAGAATAATTCCAAGAATTAATAATATCGGGCGGCAATTATCTTTGTAATCGTGTAATATTTTTTATTTCACATATTTTCTCAATTTGCACGCGTATCGAATCGCGTATAAATATCGCGTATTATCATATTGTTTTTCTTTTTCTTCTTCTTCTTCTTCTTCTTTCATGTTCTGATTTATGCACATGATTTTATGATTTTCTTCTTCGAGGAAATTTTTTTCAGGGACACGGTAAATCAACTTCGATTATTATTCCTCTAGATAGAGACTAGAATCCATTTAATTATTTTCCATTTCCCTCCGATATTAATTAAAGAACACGATTAACAAAAAAAAAGGAGAGACACTAAATATAAAACTAATTTTTACCCATTAATTATTATTACCTGCGTGAAGAATTTCGTACTTTTCAAAATCAACTCCTCTAACACGTTCATGCTGTCATATCCAATTGACAAAAACAGGTTCAAAAGAAAAGGGAAAAACTTTGCTTAAAAAGAAAAGAAAAGAAAAGAAAAATACCCTTTCCTCCTGCGATCGACATATTCGTACTATTTCATTATATTTTTATACATCATGAAGGATGCTGCCCGTTTAATTTCCACCACGTCTCACCATTACGACAATGATACGACGATTCGGCCTCTAACGTCAACGACGACCAGAATCGACCACGTTCACCGATCGACTGTTCCACGCGGAGCAGGTTACCGCAACGCGCGACAATTGCAACGTATACAAACGATTGTTTATGCGTGGTCTTAAGACAGCCCGTTCGCCCGTCCGTGATCCGGCAACTAAACGAGTTGCAACGCGCCGCGTTTAATTTATTTTACATTACATCTTACGATTGCAATATCGTCCGCAGTGACGCATCTTGCGATGAAAAAAATTTGACGTAATCGACCATTATGCGCCTTCCCAGAGACTTGCAATTCCTTGCGCGATGCCGACCGATTGAAACAGTGACGATATACACACACACATATATATATATATACGAAAAATTTGTCAAGCGTTAGAAATTTCGATCGAGGTACGAAAATAAACGAAAATAAAGATATTAAATTTGATCACAAGTTGAGAACAATTTCCTCTATTTCTCAACAGCTTATATATAAAATAGAATCGGTTTTGGGATAGAAAAGAATTTTTGAATCTCTTACCTGATACGGGGGCCAGATACTGTACGCCTGAACATCCCTCCAGCTGGGCATCTCCAAGCCAGACGCGTTCTTGCTGTCGTCCTCGGCGACGATGATCGTGTAGGACGTGACGGCCCCGTTCTGCTCGCTGAAGTAATTTTTCCTGAACCGTATCTGTATCGTTGTGCTGCTCCTGCACACCTCGGTCGGCACCACCTGCGTGGGCGGTTTAGGAGGAGCGAGGATCGGCATCTTCTGCTTCCACGCCGCCTCAGGCCCGAACCCTATCCTCGTCTGCGCTTGGATCCTGAACATGTACGTCTTTCCAGGTATCAGAGACTTGATCACGCCGCGGTATTCGTTCGGCTTGAAATCCTGCATCTGAGTGTGGTTCGAGCCCTGAATCGAGAGAGGAGAATGATAATTTACTTGGACGATTAATTTAAACCTGATCACGATCTCTTTAACTCCTATGTATCGTCCTCCAAGCTTTGCTTTTAATTGCTTGAAAACAGTGTGTGTGTGTGTGTGTGCGTGTCGAGATACGTGCGTGTTTTTTTTTTCTTTATCGGTTTTCCTTCTTCTTCTTCTTCTTATTCCTTTTTTTCCTCCCCCCTCCTCTCATCCATTTTTCAATTCGAGCGCCTTAGAGCTTCCGTTTTGCGCGTGATATATCGAGGATAGGCGAGGCGTACACGGATGAGTCACGATTCAATGCGACTTCGCAGCGGAGAAATTAATTCGTCGACGTGTTAAACGGAATTGAAAAAAGGGGAAATGATTGATGATTCGTATCGACGAAGGTATCGTTAATTAAAATTTTGATACTCTGATTTATATTGGATGAGAACAGCAAGCAATAAGATTGAATTTGTATCACGTTATACCGGTTCGTTAAACTCGATTTTCCATCGAATTAGGAAGAACGATTGATGATGATAATAATAATAATAGGGAAAAAAGAAGTGTATACTCACGTCCAAACCGTAGGTGATGGTGTATTTTATTATTATGCCGTTCTGCTCTTGGCTGGGGAGCGACCACTCGAAGCTAATGTCGCTCGGTTGAATATCCGTGGGATGGAACTTCTCCACCTTTCCAGGATAGGACTCGCTTGTGGTGAAACTCGCGCTCAGAGGATTCGATATTCTCAGATAAGAGGATGCGGTCCCGGAACGGACCACCAATGTGAAAGTATAATTTCTATGCGGTTTCAAATCGGAGATCGTTATCGAGTTCACGGTGGTGATGTTCTGAATGTAATTCCCCTCCGTGTTTATGTATTGAACCTCGAACGCGTCGTACTGTCCACGCGGTATGTCCCACGTAAGCGTGATCCTCGTGTCGTTGATGTCCATGGCTTCGATGGATGTGACCGGTTCGGGATCTGAAAGCAGAAAGTTCGAGAGAGTGAAAATCGAAAATCGAAAATCGATCCGCATGCCTCGATCTGTCTCTCCTCTATTCTCCGTTGGTTAATTACATTTCTTTTTCTTTTTTTTTTCTTTTTTTTTTTTTTTTTTTTACAGTTTTTAGCAGTTTTAAGGATCTCGAGCACCATAAGCAGGCTGAACTTCAAACTTGAATGAAGTTACCACGTTCTTAAGTGGAATTTCTTTAAGTGGGTCTGTCGTACTGTCTCGGTGTACGCCTCGGTGTGTGTATTAACGATCAAGCGGGATCAATGATAATTAATGGAAAGACGAGACGGGCAAGATTTTTCAAATCAAATCTTGTCTATGAAAGAAAAGAAAAAAAAAAAAAGAAAGAAAGAAAGAAAAGATAAGGCAAAAACAAGTTCACGCAACTTTTTCAAAACATATCTATATATATATATATATATAGGGTAGTACAATTAATATCGATACCTCTTCCCCCTATATACATAATGCAAAATATATATACATAATCTCACAATGTGTGATCATTTCTCAAAATTGCAGTACAAATACCGAGTACACTTTATTTTTAAATATGATTTTCACGTAAATAATTTCAATATTCACGATCTCGATCTCGATCTCGATCTCTTTTAAAATCTGAATTACGCGAATTTTCTCAATTTTTTTTTTTTTTTTTTTTCTTAATTCGCTTGCTTATGAGTCGAAAGGAGAGATTAACCGCGGAATGGCGCATTGTCCCCTCACTGAACGGAAAGTTGAGTACTCACAAAGTCGATCCTGCCTGAGCAGTGGCCTGCTCTCCACGTTATCGCTGACGGTCCATACGGTAACGTTGTACAGTTTACCGGGCGTGAGGCCGGTGAAGGTCACTTTGGTGTCCACGTCGTCCACCATCTTCTGTTTCGTCGTGTTCCTCGAGTCGCTGATCCGGAACCGATACAGATCGAACTTGGAGGATTGAACCGGGGTCCGTGTGTATCTCAAGGTCAACGAGTCAGGCTGATCCTGATCGACCACCACAACCACTTCCGATTGGATCAGCGGCACTGAATTCGAGAGGATTCGGTGTTTTTTTTTTTTTTCCTGGGCTCGCCATTTTTTTTTTTCTTTTTCCTTTCTTTTTCTCCCCCTCTCGTTTCACGCGTTTCCTCCACTCGCCTCCCGCTTTCCTTTCAATCTTTATTATCACGTTTCTCTTTTATTCAGATCGACTTTTTCCATTTTATTACGTTTATATTAAACAAGCCTTTTTTTTTTTTTTTTTTTTTTTTTAGTTCAGCGACCAGTTGATTACGATAATGAATACGTTAATGAACAACAAAATTATTATCGGAGCGAAAGATTGCTGTTCGCAAGATTATGACACAAAATATGGGTAGTGTGGTCGTGTCGCGCAACGCACACGCAAAATTAGTAGAATGAGGTAGTATCGACCAGTATCGAGTCGTGGTTATCGTTTCAAATATTATACAATGTGTTAGTACTCGTGATGAAAGCGAGTTGGTCGACGAAATAACAGCCGAATAACAAATCCATCCAAAAAGAGAAACGTATTAGTCGGGAGATAAGTGTAAAGTGCACCCACTATACACTTGTCGTTTCTAAAATCGTGTACTCACTTGTCCTCGTAGTCAGATTGGTGATCTCACTGACCAAGTTATAGGAGATGGTGCATATGACGAAGGAATATTGAACGCCGGGCATCAGGTCGCTGACCAACACCCTTTGCACCGAGCTCTCTTCGTAGAGGCCACCCGCCACGTCGTTGCTCTCCGTCACATTTTTCGTGCGCACGTCCTCGGGATTGTCCACTGGCCACCATCTTATCACGTACGTTTCGATCCTACCCTCGGGCCTGGGCCATTCCAGGGTCACGTTCGTCGAGTCCACGATAGGGGTGATGTTGAGCACCGGGTTCGATCCTGGAAGGGGTCGAAGAAATAATCCAGATTCGCGTGGTGAATTTATAGAATGGAAAGAAGAATAGAAATGAAAAAAATGAACGGATCATTTATATTTATTTATCACTTACGAACTGTGTGATTCACTTGAAGGGGGTAGAGACTTTCCACCCCGTAACTGACGGTGTTCACTTGGATCGTGTATTTCTCCCCCGGCGTCATATCCGCCACCTCGGCCTCCGTCTCGCGAACACTGGGCAACTTCACCCATCTAGGGTCGTCCTCTGTCCGATATCGTATCGAAAACTCGGAATACAAGGAATCCGTAGGCGCCTCCCAACGGACCACCACAGTGTTCCCAGTCGTCACTTTCTCGATGGTTAAATTCTTTGGCGGATGGGGCACTGTTTTTATTCGGACAAACGTTGTTAAGGATGCAAAACGTGTAAAGTATAACTCGTTCACCGATGGAAAGAAGCGAAGTAGGAGCGCCTATTCCCGTCTCAGACGATTTGTTGACAATCCTGATGGCATATGTATTATATAGTAGTGGAAGAGTTGCAATTCGAATATTCAAAATCGTAAAAATTATTTTCGTTTATCAAGTCACGTCAAGGATAATCTATAATAGCGTATTAGCTCATTATTATTTTAGCTACTCGAATACAAAGTTTATAAATTACTGTTCACAAATCATAATTAACATATTACGAGAAATAAACAAATTTTAAAACACTCTGAATTCTATGCCTGATGTATAGATATAAATATCTATTGTTCACCGTTGAAAAGAAACGTGAAAACGTAAGAAGGGTCCTTTGCTAAGATCTCCACTTCAGACGCTTCGTTGCATAACAATGAAAAAGCTATAATTTGAATATTCAAGATCGTAAAAATTATTTTCGTTTATCAAGTTACGTCAAGAATAATCTATAGTATAGTCTAGCTTATTATCATCTTAGCTAACATTAGCTCGAACACAAAATTTATAAATTATTGTTCACAAATCATAATTAACATATTACGAGAAATAAACAAATTTTAGAACACTCTGAATTCTATGCCTAATATATAAATATAAATATCTATTGTTCACCGTTGAAAAGAAGCGCAAGAAGGGTCCTTTGCCAGGATCTCCACTTCAGACGCTTCGTTGACGTTGCATAACAATGAAAAAGCTATAATTTGAATATTCAAGATCGTAAAAATTATTTTCATTTTTCAAGTCACGTTAGGATAATTTATATCTAACTTATTACTATCCTCGAACACGTTTATACAAATTAAACTATCGTTACGAATCGTGAGAGATAAAAAAAAATTTTTATGTCGCATCGATAGAATATTCTGGCCTCTATGCCTATATCAATACGTCGAGATTTAATTACGGATCGTCTTTTTGATACACACGCATACAGAGACGTATCGAATTAGGTTAGAATGAAAAATATGCGTTTCCTTTCGAATCATAGACTCGTTTCCATCGGTGAACTTTTTCCAAACTACTTCATTATCCACGATCGTTCGTTCTCGATCGAAGATTTAAAGAGATCGATCCACTCACGAACAGCTTGAAAATAATCGTGAGGTTCGCTCCTGAGCCCGTGGCTAATGGCGAAAACTTTGACCTCGTAAGCCGCCCCGGGGTAGAGGTCCTCGAGAACTATGTGGGATTCCGTGGTTAACGTGGTCGCGCTCTCCCCGGTGTCGTTCCTGTTGTGCGTCACCTCGAATTTCTCTTGCCTCGAGTTAACGTCGCTCTTCCACGAGATGTTCAGCCCCATCTCGGTCGGCTTCAGATCTTCGATTATCGGGCTCGAGGGCCGCGTCACTTGGTACAGCACGGTCTCGTTCGATTCCACCTTGTTGCTAATCGCCTGCACGATTATCGAGTAATTCCTGCCTGGCAGTAAAGCTTCCAACGTGACCTGAAAATTGCAAAAGATGTTATTAAACGAGTATTAAAATCTCAGACGATTCTGCATAAGTTCCAAATTAATTACGAGGAGTTATAAGTTAATATATATCATTATTCTTAATTAAAATGAATATATATTGCATAAGCAAATAAATTGTGAATCACGTTTGAATTATAAATTTTTAAAGTTTCTAAAAAATTGGTAGAAAGTAATGATCAAATAAATTTTTGCACTCAAGTTTAAACAAACGTAAAAATAATAATTATATCCTTCTTTAACACTTTCGCTTCACAATCCTCTTCGCATTCCTTTAACGTGATAAATCCTGAATTTCGATCGATTTGCATTTGTTAAAATAAAAGAAACACTCCCACCTTGGTCTTATCAGTTGTCAACATGTTGCTATCACCGCCGATCGTAGTTTCCACTTCGTGATACTGAAGCTTGTAACTGTCCTGGGTACTCGAGTTCTCCGGGTGCCAGGAAACTTCCACCATCCCTGTTTTCTCGTCGATCACCGCGCTAAGATCGCGCACCGGCAACGGTTCTAAAATTATCGTAGAAAAATTTTACGAACGTTATCACGTCACCAGTCAATAAATAAATTCATCGAATGAAAAATCATACACCATTTCTATTGCCATCGAACGAAACGAGTTAATTTATCGAAGAAGAAGCTGAATCGATGTATATTACAATAACGTATAATTATAATTATATATGTATATATATATAATAATTAATATTATACTTTAATTAATAATAATATTATAAAATTAACAAAATTAGATAAAGATATAGAGTTTAAATAAAATACTAATATATTGTTATAGAATTTAAAGTTCACTGAAATTTTATACGTAGTTTTATTATTGAATGTTGCCAACATATACTTCAAATGTTTTGTAAACAGATAATTAAATATATTCATTCAGCTAAACCCGTACATTTTCATTTACTCGAACGAACGTTCGATTTTCACTGCCCGATCAACACACATATATAAACGGGATCATTAATTTTTGAGAGAGCGACTCACTCAAAGTAACGTCCCCGTTAGCCGGCCAACTGGTAACCTTGCCCGAGACGGTCTTCACCACGACCTGATAAGTTTTCCCCGGCTCCAGGTCCTTGAACTCCCACTTGCTCTCGTCGTCCCTGTTCCTCGTAACGGGGGCGAGCCTTTTGTTGCCCCCCAATGATATCTGATACTTGTCGAATTCGGACGTTCCCTCGGGCGGATTCCAGAAGACGCGGAACGAGGTGGACGTTATCGAGGGCTTGTCGAAGGTGACGTTGAGGGGTCGCAACGGCACCGTTCGATACTGAGCCGTGGTCGGGGTCGAAGTCTCGTCCTCCGACACCGTTTGGACCGAAATATTGTAAGCTCTGCCTGCGGTGAAGAGAAGGATACACGCGAAATTAAAAAGAAAGAAAAGAAAGAAGGAGAGGAGAGGAAACTTTCGTATCCACCCTCGTGAAACGTTGTTACGTACATAATGGATGATAAAATGATTCCATCATTTTCGAAAAATAACTTACCAGGAACGAGCCCTTTGAAGGCGGCCTGTGCAGGCCCGGGGGGTTCCCCTTCCTTCTCCACGTAAAGAACGGATTCTATGGCATCTGCGGGATCTATACTAACTTTATAATGGGTGTAAATCCCGGCAGGATAGGGAGGCTGCCACAGGACCAATAAGGTCGTCTCGTTTCTGAACCATACGATGAACTTGCCCGGTGTGTTCGGCTCTAAAAAAGATAGAAAAAAAAAATAAATAAATAAAAATCCACTGCACCTTACGGGGCTATCAATATTTATTTTTAATAAATAATATTTTATAATTAGGGCCCCTCATCAATATTTAATCACTCCCCTAGAAATTTCTGAATTTACATTTTACAATCAAACTCGAAAGTAATCCAATTACAAACGAATTAAACGAAGCTAGAGGAAAAAAAAAAAATAACCGTTCATTCAATTTAGGGAACATGGTCGCTTCCAACAACTCGTAACGAAAATTCATCGATCAATTCTTTCATTCAAATCAAATATATATATATATATATATAAATAACAAATACCAAAATCTCACGAAACTCTCGCGTTTGACATTTCAGACTTGGATTAATTATTAATTAATTATTCCATCACCGTTCACGTTGCCAAATTTCAACAACAACGAGGAGGGATCGATACTCACTGGTGGTGAAATTCCTGCTCGTGTACGCGACGCTCTCCTTGGTGTCCAACACGGTGAACAGTTGGAGGGAGTACGTGGCCCCTGGTATGAGGTCGCGGAGCACGTATGGGACAGCGTCCGCCGGTATGACGCTTGTCTTCGGATTCCCCGTGTCGCTGAAACTTTGCACCCTTAACCGGAACCCGGAATAATTGCCCTGGGCAGGCGGCGCCCAGTAGACTATCGCCGTCTTCCCATTTCTCACCGAGACGGTGAGGTTCGAGGGAGGATCCGGGGCTGAAAAACGTAATTCGTCAATTCACTTTTCGAATTCAATTCAATCCGTCGTTCCAAGTAATTCGGGATTAAGGAAACGCGATTAAGAACGAAGTTAGAAGTTTTAATGCCGTCTCCATTATTATTGTTATTATTAGTGTTATTGTTACATGGAGGATGGAATATATTGTCGAGTTTTTAGTGGTAACGAAGGTAACGAGTTGAAAGATGTAATTTAAAGTAATTGAAAAGGATTTTTATTCGTAGTGTGATTGGCTTGATTCGAGAAATTTTGCGTAAAGAGAGAGAGAGAGAGAGAGAGAGAGAGAGAGAGAGAGAGAGAGAGAGAGAGAGAGAAAGCAGTGTACTCGGTTGAGTACAATCTCTCCTTTCCTACGAAGCGATAATATTGTGATTGGAAGGCAAACAAAGTTCGTGAAAAGCATTCTTCGAGTTGTTAATAGTCGCCTGTTAACAACAAGACAAATGAATGCACAACATGTTTTCCAATCAAAGATTTCAACAAAATTGATATTCGCTCGAAACATCGGAACAGACATCAGACGATTAGCTTTTTTTTCAAATTGTTATGCATTGTCGGGATAAGAAACGATTCAAACATCTGCAAGTTTTCATCGACAAATGGTAACACTTAATCGAACGTATTTCTTTTCTTTCTTCTTTTTTTTTTTTTTTAACTCTTAATTAATTTAACTTTTAATTATTCTTTCTAAAAAAAAAAAAAAAAAAAAAGAACCAATTATACATGTAACAATTATTCACGTAACACTTACCCGTAGTTATGGACGCGGTCCATGTTAGCCAATCGTGGAGGCTACTGTTGCTATAGTACAACCAAAATTCGTATTTGGTTCCTGGCAGGCCGTCCTTGAATTTTATCACGTCACCTATGTCGATGGCGGCTATGGTGGTGTTGGGCGGTGGATAACCGACTGCAGGGCTGTAGTCCAAACGGTACCAAGAACCTCCCTGGCTCAAGTTTCCTGGTATCTCGATCGCGAGGTCTGCCGAATACGTGACCTGAAAATAATACGTGGTTTGTTAACAATTTTCATATACACCAACCAATTTCGATCGATAAAACAGATTGGTATTCCGTTAAGCCAAGGACAAAGACGGGATGGAACGTGTAATTTTTCGCGTCAAGCGTGTTTATCCTGTACGTGAGAGCGAGCGATCAAGCGTGATTAAAGTTGCGCGAAGGTGGGTCAAATGACACGGGAACGTGCGGTTCAGAAGTAAATTATGATTGACGTCAGCAGCGAGCAACGATACGAGCCTCGATTCTCTCTGCCGTTCGAAATGCTGACGCGAATATTTCGCGTGCCACGCGCGAAGATTAAGATTAGTTGAAAATCATTGTCATCGCGATTGATAAAAATTTTATCGTTAAGCTATGTGTAATCGTCTTGTCGATCTTGTCGATAACGCGGCGAGATTTTAAAAAGTGAACGATGGAGATACGATGCATCGAGATAATCGCGGGCAAATAATAAATCGAAATCGTACGAAAGAAAATGTTTTATATTGTTGTATATATATATTGTTGTGTAGCGGTACAGGGAATTCTATACCACAACGTAACGGTAATCGAAGACATATTTCCCATGATAAACAATTTCAGATTTCACGCGCGCCTTTTGTGACAATAATACGATTTATAACGGGTAAAATAAGGGGGAGGGAAAAAAGGGAATCGCGGGGACAGTTAGCCAAGACCGATTTTATACATTCCCGTTACAAGCTACTGGCAAATATCCAAATAGAAAGTGTACAAAACGCTCTAGCGTGAAAAGGTGGAAGACCTTTCGGTGTAATTCATCGATCCATAGCGGAGGAGTTTTTAAGGCCAACCTTGATCTTCTCTCTCATCGCTATTTCCAGCTGAATCCCGAAATGTGAAATTCGTTGGTCGACGAAAAATTATATATTCTTTCGAAGAATAATTTTTCTAAAACGATCTCGTTTCGAATTAATCCGTATCGTGATTTTAATTAAGATCTTACGAATGCGAGATTCCTCGTTCCAATCGTTAGAGAATCAACATTCTAAAATCAATTTTCTAGAAAAAAAAAAAAAAAAAAAGAAAAGAAAAGAAGAAGAAGAACGCGCGATAAAATTTAAAATCACCTTTTCACGAGTATTCAAATTCTCGGTATCTTTCATCGCTGAATATTCATCACGCACCAGGCCTCATTACTTTAAAGACTAACGAGCGTTTTTTTTTTTTTTTCTTTAATTGCTATATCTTCCCTGCCGTATCGAACAATAAAAATTGAATTCGAGGAATGCGATTCTCTTATCTAATTTAAAAATCGTCTCACGAGAGTGTTATGGACGGCGATATTTATAGCCATGAATCCTGATGGAGTGGCGTTGCCGGTACGTATGTACACGGTATGCCGGAAGCGACGAGACAGACGTGGGAAAGAGGCGCACCGCAAATCTATAATGCCGTTACTCACCCGTAACACAACAGTCTGTACCGGACAGCGAATGTATATTAAAAACGATATCAATTTCGCCCGCCATCTACACTACTCGCGAAGGAAACTACATTTTCCATCACGATTTCGATCATACTTTAAAACTATATTGCACGTACGCGTATGCAAATAAAAAGATATTAATTTTAATCTTTAAACCAATTTTTTGAAAGTGTTACATATATGTAAGAACAAGAATACTCGTTCGTCTATCGCTTAATTTGATAATGTTATATATATATATATATATAGCTAGACACAATTAATATACCCTAACATCTAATTAAAAAGAAAAAGAACGAGGATACTTTTCATTCTCTCGCTTAATCCTAAAATTATACGACCATCTTTGAATCAATTGTTCGATAATGTTACATATATATATATATATATATATATATATACACAATTAATATACTCTAACATATCTAATTGAAAGAAAAGAAAAAGGACGATTTTCGTCCTCTCGATTAATCCTAAAATTATACAAATAAAAAGAAAAGATGGATATTAATTTTAATCTTTAAACCAATTTTCTGAAAGTGTTACATATATGTAAGAACAAGAATACTCGTTCGTCTATCGCTTAATTCGATAATGTATATATATATATATAGCTAGACACAATTAATATACTCTTTGAAATTGAAAGAAAAGAAAAAGGACGATTTTCGTCCTCTCGATTAATCCTAAAATTATACAAATAAAAAAGAAAAGATGGATATTAATTTTAATCTTTAAATCAATTGTTCGATAGCGTTAAATATACAGCTAGATACAATTAACATACTCCAAATGAAAAAGAAACAAAACGATACTTTTAATACTCCCATCATTTCGATCTCGACTACACACGTAAAATCCCAAACAACAAGCCACTCGATCACCCTCCTATCGGATGCGCATCGATACCACCCTCCTACAACGGAGGAGAGCACAGTCTATCGAATCATACCACCCCCGGAATCGCGTCCCCCGACATCGGTAGCATCAACGCAATATTCTCGAGAACGCCTTCGTAATACCAATTTCTTGCCTCGTTGCCTCCCTTCTTCTCCTCTCCTCCTCCTTCTCCTCCTTTCCCTCCCTCCCCCTTCCCCATTTCTACCTCCACCCACGCGCCACCCACCCCGAAAGAAAGATTCCGCGCGACAAGTTTCTCTGATTTTCGAAAGATCGCGTCTGCGGCGGCCTACGTCGAAGCGGCTCTTCCTACATCCGCTCGCGACGACGCCGCCGCTGCTGAGGTGCATATCGATCCCTCGTCCACCATCGTCATCCACCCCTCCCGCCGAATCCGCGCTCCCTTTTCCTCCTCGCCTCGCTATTTCCATCGCGTCGCCGTCGTGATCGTGGTCGTGGTCGTGGTCGTGGTCGACGTCGGCAACACTCCTAATTGTACCAAGAACGCCGTGGAATAGCTGTGCAAACCCTTTGCTGGGTCATGCCCCACGTGTACGTGTGCACGCGTAGACGAGGAGGGGGTGCGTAGGAGGGGTTGAGCGGAGAATTTCATTGGAACGCGGCCGAGGGGGAGGGGGTGGAGTGCGCCGAGAATTATTTTCCACGCGTGCATTGCCGGTGATTAAGCGCGGTCGTGTGTGTGCGCGCGCGCGCGTGTGTGTGTGTGAGGGAGGCTTTTCGACTGTTCAAGTTTTATATATGTCGACCGATGGGTGCTCGTTGCAGAAACGAGCGACGAGCCCCGCCCTCTCCCTCCCTCTCTCTCTCTCTCTCTTTCTCTCTCACTCTGTTCTCGTCGCAGAGCTAGGCGAAATTGGAAAAGGCTTCGCGCAAAAGTAACGCTTTTCAACGTTGTTTCTCCAAAGAAGGATATCTCGCTCTCTCTCTCTCTCTCTGGCTTGCTTTTTTCTTTTTTCGTTTATGAAACGTTAGGCAGGTGGAGAGGGGTGTTTCTTCTTTTGGGGTGCTCGTTAGGTAAATGCTGTCTGCCACCTTGTGCACCTTCCTCCACACAGTGGAAATCTGATCGACGTTTTGGTGGGTTATTTTTGGGGGGGTGTTACATTCGGATAAAGAAATTTTGTAAGAATCGAGGTTTTTAATATGGGAGTTTTTTAATTAACGAAAGGATGCTAAAGGAAGAAGCGATCGATGGAGAGGATTTTATGCGAATTGCGTGAAATAATTACAGGAGTAGCAAGTAAATCGTTACCCTTCGTCCATGCATTTTCAATTAAAATACCAATTTAATTGGCGTTAACTGAAAATTTAAGAAAAAAACCTCGGATGCAAAATAATATTTATAATACTGTTGTACATGCTTATCAATTTAAGAGATTATCTATATACGGATACTTATTTAACGTAATTCTAACGGATACGTTTTTAATTAATGAAAGTTTAAAGGATGGCGAATTGAACGAGCAAGGAGACGTGGCAACACGCGTAAATCGATGCGATTTTTCAATTAAAATTACGATCAATCGTAAAACATTGGATACAAATGAATTTGCAATTGCGCGTTTACCGCAACGCGATTATCGATCCAACTTGAAAAATATAGATATTATTCAATTGTTTAAAAGAGAAGAAAAATTCAACGCCCATCGTTGAACACCGTAAAGCTAAATCAAATCGTCACACGCGCCAAGTGATTTTCATACAATGCACGAGTATATATATATATGTATATATATATATATGAAATTAATTAAAAATGAATTTATTAATAAAATAAACAAATAAAAAATAATTAAATATATGAAATAAATAATAAATCAATTTATTGGTATTATTTGTGGAATTAAATTTCATTAGAAGTAATTTTAAATACTATATTTGATTTAAAAGATCAACTCTTAAATTTCAGACATCTAATGAAATTTTAAAAAATAATTTTTAGAAAAATTTATTTTAGTTTGACAAACTAATGTTATTATTATTAACTAATTTTTTATATTTGTTTATTAATTCAATTTAGGAAAAAATTGAATGAAGTTGTGAATGAAGTATATATATATATATATATATACATATTGGATCGTTCGGTTAACGAGATTCCGATAACGCGATTCTTCCAATGGCCTCCGCTATCCGGGGTCATCCCGCCACGAACAGGAACGGAAACTCTTTTATAATCGGGCATTTCTGCTGTACAACATATCCAATACGAGAGAATATGAGAGCGCGCGGCTACGATACTATAAATGTATACTATAAATACCACAAAGGTTTATGCCTCTTTGCCATTGACTGGCGGCCTCGTCTGGTCGCGTGTCGCTGTATCGTGATCTAGATAGGCAATATCGCAATAGGCAGAAATTGCTACAATTCCACTTTATGTAACGCTGTTACGTATCTATCTGGACTATATATAGGCGATATTGCGGGATAATTATTCCCCAATTTGTACTTTACGTTTTTCACGATTTTGAATTGCGTTTGCGAAAAGAAATTAAAAGTGAAAAAAAAAAAAAAAAATAAAAATCTGTTGGAAACGATCCCTCGAAGCGGTGTTGACATTTCTAAAGATCACGTAGCGAACGAAGTAAGGAGAAATAAATAAATAAA